CTTCTGGGCACTGCCTTTGTGTTTGAAGGCTTTGGGTCTATAAGACCTAAACCACATCTTAGCAAGGACTGAGATGACTCTCTGTTGGCGTTGGGGTGGGAGGGGCCCAGAGAGAACCCAGATGATGATGAGAACCAGCAAAGGCTCTGCCAATGGACTCTGCACCCAGGGCAAAGAAGTTCTGCAGCACCGCTGCCCAGCTCTCCAACACTTTTCTTTCCAGGAACTTCTGAAAAAAAAAACACCTTTGCAGAGGTGTTTGTGGGACTGAAAAGGCACAGTTATGTTTTATACCAGTTATTAAGTGTGGACAAATAGTCCACCCACTACTGCTTACGTTCTTATCTGGTTAACCTGCTACTAAGGGCTATTCAGCAACTGAGATTGAGAGTTGAATATTTTATAAATGTATGCTCCCACCCTGCTCCCCCCAACTCGATTGTAGAGATAGAGACGAGCTCATTGTAAAGAAGCTAAAAAGTATCAAGAAGCAAGGGCAAAGTCACCCACGCGAGGTTAATTCCTGGCAGATTATGCATACCATGGTAACTCTGCTCAGAACACAGTAAAAATTCCAGTTATGCAAGGGCCTTTAAGAGGAGGTCATTCTAGAATTTTCCCAGCTATCTGAGAGGGTCACACTTAAAGAGCAGAGACATTTACTTCTTCTTCCAGAGGGAAGGAGGCTGCCTAACTTCACCGGCTTAATTGTGGGATATTCTCTCCAAGACGCTCCGCGGTCTTGCACCACCCAAGGGAGGGCAGGGGCTGCGTCTCAGCCGCATTTGCATCTTGGGTGGGTGGTGCCGGGCCTGGCACGTGGCTGCCGGAAATGTAGGCAGAGGGAGTGTGTAAGTATGACTTGGGAACAGCACGCCTTGAACTTTTTCTTGCACTGCTGGGGCCAATGTGGTTGACAGTCGCTGACCTCTGCTCTCACCCACAAATAGAGATTCCAGCGCATAAGGATGCTGGCCTCCCGCTCAGGGAGTCTGCTGCTGAGGACTCCCTGACCTGGGGCCTCGCCCAGGTGTCCTCTCCAAGTCACGCTGCTGGCAGAGGCTATGATTCTTTTCCTCATTCATGTGAGTGGCCATTAGAAAATTAATATAAATCCCTATCAGAGGTTATTAAAATAAAAAATTTTAAATATTTGCAAGAGTAAGCTATTTGTAAGTTGATCATATAAACGATGATATAAAATCTGTGATAAGAGTCACAGATGAAGCCATTTAGGCTGATGAGGTAAAGCTATGACTTTATGAATCTAAATATAAAACTACTATGTTGACAAGAAAGGCAAAGACCACATTCAACAAGAACAATAATGAGAACCGACAATAGGATTGGTGACTGGAGGCTAATTTGGCACAATTCTCGCTGGTCTTCCTTTTAATTTTGTAAACCAGATAGAACCACATAAACAGTATTGTCATTTAGAGATGGATGAAGTAACACTGCATTAACTGGGTCCTGGGCGAGAGCCATCTGAGTAGCTCTCCTCCACTGTCCATTCCTCTCCAAGTCCACCCCCGCTGGCGGAAACCCAGTGACCTCACCTCTCCTTCCCATACCACCTGGGACCCCTTTCTGATCTGCTTCCACACTGCAGTCAGGCTGACTTTTCATTATGCAAATCTGATCACGTCATCTCTCTGTTTAAAATCCATCAATGGTCTGTCTGTGAGACAAAGTCCAGAACCCTTGGTCTACTCCAGCGGCCTGGGCCCCTCCCTCCTGAGTCACGGCATTCCCTGACTCAGCTTGACGACGCGCAGGGCCCTGGACTACTGATGCTGTCCCGGTGTGGACGATACGGTACGTGGCCACTCTCATCACACCCCTCTCCTCCTCCTGCTCCCTGGGGCTCACTGCCACCTCTGACCCTGCCCCATCCTTCCCCATCTACACTCTCTTGCCCAGGGGGCTCTGCCTTCAGAGCACTGCTCACACCTAAAATTCACTAATGATCTGTGTGATGACTTCTGGAAGCCCACATTCCCACAAGACTCTCGAGTCCACAAGAACAGGAAGCTGTCTGTCCCACCTGCTCCCTGCTCCATCCCTGGTGCTCAGCACCGTGCCAGGGGACAGCATCCTCAGTGCTGACAGGGTTGCGGGGTTGCTCCATGGAGCCAAGGGGCACAGCAATGGGGAAAGATAGCATACATTGGCCACAGAAGCAGGATGTTTCTGATAACAAGTATCTGATAATAACCTCAAAACTGACGAAGGAATGAGGCACATCTGGTGACAAGTGAGAAGGGAGGTAAAGATGAGGTCTTAAAGTGGCAGCTGCTCAGGGGACACACCAGGACAATTATGGTTTAAATGTTTACTCAGTGTCTTTGAACTAAAGGAGGTTTTTGGAAGGAGAAATAACACTACTTGGGACTTCGGATGTGGAAGCTGAGAAGGGGGAGGTGCTGGGTGACCCCAATGCTTCTTTTGAACAACAGAGCTGCACCACTCAGGGAGGGAAAGGGCTGGGGCAGAGGGAGTCCCCTGCTCCATGCATGAGGCTGGGTGTGTGGAGCTTGGGATGCTGGCTGGATAGCTACTTAACCCAACACATTCTGGACGTTAGTACCAGCCACGATAACCCAAGGCCTCTGAAGTACATGTGCTGGTTTGATGAACCCTGAGTGCTAAGTACCATCTAGATGCTGAGCGCAGTGATCTAGAGCACAGGCTCAGCAGTTGTGGTGCACTGGCTTAGTTGCCGAGGCATGTGGGATCTTCCTGGTGCCAAGTCACTTCAGTCATGTCTTACTCTTTGTGGCCCCATGAACTATAGCCCGCCAGGCTCCTCTGTCCATGGGATTTTCCCAGGCAAAGATACCAGAGTGGGTTGCCATTCCCTCCTCCAGGGGGATCTTCCTGACCCAGGGATTGAACCCATATCTCTCATAAGTTCTGCACTGGCAAGCAGGTTCTTTACCACTAGTGCAACCTGGGAAGAGGGATCAAACCCATGTTCCCTGCATTGGCAAGCAGATTCTTAACCACTGGATCACCAGGGAAGTCCAAGTTGTTTCTTGAAACCAGAACTTAACACACCCCACGTAAGTTTCTGAATTTGGCTGGATTGAAGCCTGGAGCCCACAGATAGGCCCTCTGACTCTCCCCATATATGTGACTGACCATCAATAAATGCACTGCTATTGACCAGGCCCTTCCTGTAAGCCTCAGCCACACTATTACTTCATCTGAGGGACAAGCAGACTTCAAAACACAAGTTGAGAGCGCCAAGCTCCATTCCTGCTTTTCAAGTACTTGTTAGATGTGTCAGGCCACAGCATTTGTAAGAAAGGACTACCTGGGAGGCAGGTAAACGTGATCTACGTGGCATGCAAATGTACTCTGATGAACTCTTATTACTATAGAAAACATCAAACATTATTTGCTCATACCACCTGAAATTAAAACTGCCAGCCAAAAAGGATAATTATGAAGAATATCACCAATACAAGGAAAATGATGATGGGATAACATTAAATGGAAAAAGCAGACTATAACTATATACTCATGATCAAAGTTCCATAAAAATTATATATGTATATGAAGAAGGACTGCTCAGGCAAAGAGGAGTGCTGATGAGAAAAGTCGTCTCTTTTCTATCAATAGGCAGTGAAGATGGAAAATAAATGCAGACAAAGAAACCCAACGACTTGTTCAAGTGGCTTCCCAGTGGAGAAACCTCACTAAGCAAGGACCCGGGGATGAGCTGGACTTTTTTTTAAAAAAGAGTGTAGGTTATTTAGGAAACAAGAGCTGCAGGCTCTCTGGGTCTCTGGCAAAAGGCAAAATAAGCTGGCTCACTTTCAACTAAGTCACTAACTAGCACTGGCACAAGAAAACGCAAGCGGGTCCATCAAGCTGCTGATGGCTGGGAAAGAGCACACAAACGATTCATTTACCATGGAAGAGGCTTCACATGAGCCTCAATCAGAGTATTCAGGAAACCCTAGGTGGGTACAGTTGAAAGGCTAGAATTTGGAACTAAGAGCTGGATAAACTCCTGAGATAGCAAAAGGGTTAGAACAAAGGCAATCCCTCTCCATTACTAGGCTGTTTCCCCACCTTATTCCATTTTACAGATGGGAAAACTGAGGTTCATAGAGGAACAAGGGATGTGGTCAAGAATGCATAACGAGACCCTGGTATCTGGATCTCCCTGCTCCCCGTCTCAAGTGTCTAAGTGTGTTCTCCTGCTTCTAGTTTGGTGTGGCCTCTGGCTTCCAGAGGGGACACAAAGCTCTCAGGGGACTTGAATGAGAATACAATACAGATACAAAGGAGACTTGTCTCTGCTTTGCTTTGTTAAGGCAGTTCTAGCTGTGTTGGTGATGCACACAGGATTCCTAATGAGGGCAAGCTTGCAGCTCTAGTGGGCGGGGTGGGGAGGGTGGTGGTTATTTGGTTTCCTTGGTCAGCAGAGGATGGCATTCAAATGGCTCATTTTCTGATCTAAGTCTTTTCAGGACCGAGTTGGGACCCGTGTGATTGTATCTATCACCTCCCCACGGATTGAGTGTACCACCTGGGGACAGAGGGTTGATGGGACCAGTGGGGGCTCTAAATTCCATCTTGCTTTTCTAAAATAAGGAATGAGGAGCCATTATTTCTCTGAATGCAGTAGCAAGCATTATTAAAATTGTAGCTCTTTATTGCCTTCAAAAGAAGAAACATCTCCTACACATTGTAGTTAAATGGGTTACCACCTGCCCTTTGATATGAAGTGAAAGACTTGGCCAGAGGTCATTGATTCCCTGGATGACCTGGGAGAGGAGCGAGGCATGCCAGGTGCCCTATTGAAGCCATTCCTGAACATGGAATTGGTCAGCCCAGAACCGTGAACATCCAGGGCACACAGGTTCTATTTCTTCTCTGTGAGACATGCAGCATTTTAAACCAAAGCTAAACATGGCAGTTCCATCAGAAACCCACTGACTCACCAGACACAATGCCCATAGATGGGCTGCAAGTGCTGGGCTTACCTGGAACATCAATCAATCTCTTGTAGACATTCAAGAAGGCTGCCTCAGCTTCTTTGCTTCTTTTACTCAGTGCATCAATCTGAAAGGAAACGGGAGGAAGAAAAGAACAAAGAGCTCAAAATTTGTCAAGAGGTGATTTAATAATCATCGCTTGTCTAGTGAATTCCCACTGCAAATGGGAATCTGATTTCTTCATGGAAATGCTGGACAGCTGGGCCTTCAACCTCTTAGTGTAAACATCTACAAACACACAAGAGGGAGAAAATCCACGGGCGCTAGCTAGCCCATTGAAGGGGAACGAGGCAGGGCAGTCCCATTGCCCAACAAGGTTGGGGCTCTCCAAGAGAACACATTCTCTTTCTTTCTTCCACCAGTGTAGACTATTCTTCCACCAGTATAGACTAAGAGCTGACACATGCCAGACTCTGCAAGGAGGCGGGGCAGAGCTGTCCCTACAGCTCTCAGCTTCAGGGGCTCGTGGTCCAGTTGGGGAACAGGTATGTAAATGAGTAGTGAAATCTCGGCTAAGGGACTTCCCCGGTGGTTCAGAGGCTAAGACTCCATGATTCCAATGCAGAGAACCTGATTAGGGAACTAGATTCCACATACCACAACTGAAGATCATGTGTGCTGCAGTTAAGACCTAGCACAGCCAAATAAATGAATTCCAACCAGGAAAGTGCTCGGTAAGCAGAGTCCTGGGGACACTAAGAAGGGGACAGGTGTCGAGCAAGAAAGCAGGTGACATCTGAGCAGGGTCCTCAAGAGCAGCTCACCAGGTGGAGAGGTGACACGAAAGGGGAGGAACACATTCAAACACCAAGGTTCTGAAACCTGCAGGCCCTTAGGTCCTCTTGAAGAATTTTCTGAAAATCAGAGACCCTCCTCCTAGAAACACACACACACATGGTTACATGTTCTACTTGTAGGACACTCACATGTCCACCTGTGTTCTGTCCATAGAATCCAGATGAAACTTGAATGGGGTTCTAACACCCCAGGGAATGTGGGGCTGCTGGAGGCGGGGCACACGGATACATGGGTGTGAGACTGGCCAGGTGAGGGGGTCGGTGCACTGTCTGGACCTGAGTCACAGCGGAAGGAGGCCAGGAGGGGCAGGAAGGAGGTGACCTTTCCCACCAGGTTGCTGCCTCTGCCCCGGTGCAGGGCAGAGGTGCTCTGCAGGGCAGCAGCAGAGGGGACTGTGGGAAAGAGGCCGAGCAGAGAGCCCAGGTCCAGCTGAGCTGATGTGAGACTCAGGAGGATCCAGGAGTGTTAAGGACGGTGTCTGGGTTTCGAGCTTAGGCGACGGTGAATTCCTGCCTCAGTGGCCAGGATCAGTGTGTCTCATGAACCAACCCAGCTGAGTTGGTTTCCCTCCAGTGAAAAATCTATTCATCAGAGAAAGGTGACGTGTCCCCAGCATGCCGGACACACATCCAAAGAGGCTTCAGTGGCTGGCTGGACTCAGTACGTATTTTGCTCCCCAAACACGTTCACTCAGACAACAGATCACTTTTTACCCCTGAAGCGTGCAAGATGCTACACGCACGGAGTTCACATTGGCTCAGGAAAAGGACACTAAATTATATATTCCTCTGTCCCCTCACAGAATTATACTCTGTCTCCAACGTTATTAAAGAGGCAAAAGGATGTGGTGTAATTATAGGGCCTCTCACCTGAGCCAACCAACAATTTGTTAAGGGCTGACAGAGGTCACCTGATTTAAGACGGGAAGACCCTGGGGAGGGGGACACAAGGTTTGTGGGAGGGGGAGCAGGGCAGGTCTTGGGAAATCCAAGGCAGTGGGAAAAAAAGCACAGTGCATACACTTCCAACTTCTACCAAGTCGTGCTGCAAAATGCCCACGTGAAGGCAGTTGTTGAGGACTCAGACCCACTTTCTCCCCTGATAAAACAGGGTTGGGATTTGGGCATGTTTTCCAAATAATCCACAAGGACCACTTAAAAATGTCAAGGTACTCCTCTCTTTATTTTTAAAATAAAATCCTTCCCCCCCACTCTGATTCTTAGCAGTTCACATTCGTTGTATAATTAGAAATATATTAAAAAAATAAAGAGGAAAATTAACCCCATAATTCTGCCATTCACCAGTGGAAGTCATTTCTCTGTCTGCTGTTCCCTTTTAATTTTGAATGAAAGGTAGGCATGTAGGCAAACTATAGAGACAGTAGATTAGTGGTTGTCTAGGGCGGGGGACTCAGAGGATGACGGCTAAGGGGTGTGGGTTTCTTTTTGGGGTGATGAAATGTCACACGATTGATCACAACTGTAGTAAAAGTCAATGCCAGGTTTAAATGGGTGAATTATATGGTATGTGAATTATATACCAATAAAGCTGTTTTAAACGTGTGTGTGTGTATGTGTTGAAATCAAACTGTATGGAAAATTTTGTATTGGGCTTTCATGAACATATAAAGTCTTTTCAATGTCTATTATATAATTTGGGGAATGCCTCAGCAGTATTATTTCAACGGTTCCTAACTACCGCCTACATCAGTGTTTTGAGCAAAGGGGGATATTTGGAGCTGCCTTTCCAGCTGTCTCAAGTTCTCCCTTTGCTCCAGGCCTTTCTGCCACCTCCCATGTGCGCTGTGCCCATGGGCATCAGAGTCTGCCCCAGAAGCAGGGCAGAGGCCCTGGCTGCTCTCCACACCTCTCGACACCCACAGACGCTTCTCTGCTCGGCTCCAGATCTGCCTAGAGAGGACCCCCCTGCTTCCCAGGAATTCGGCCCGAACCCACAAAGGTGGCTGCCTCTACTGGGCGCAGAGGATGGGATGTGGAAGGATCCTGAACACTGTCCTCTCTCTCCTGTCTGGGTTGTTGGTGGGGATGTGGGTGAGGGGTGGGTGCCTTACACGACACACTTGGGACTCTTATGGATTGCACCGTATCCCTGTCTGAGAGTCCTGACCCCCAGTACTCATGAACGTGGCTTTATTTGGGGATAGGGTCTTTGCAGATGACCGAGTTAAGGTGAGGTCATTAGGATGGGCCCTAATCCAACATGACCCTGTCTTTATAAACAAGGGACATCTGGACACAGAGACAGTCATGCACACAGGAGAAGCTCACCTGAGCAGGCAGCCAGGGATGTGGGTGAGGCACCTACAAACCAGAGATGGTCAGCAAATCACCAGGAGCCAGGGGAGGGGCCTGGAATAGACCCTCGCTCACGGCCCTCAGAAGAAGCCAGCCCTGCCGACACCCTGGCCTCGGCCTCCGGCCTCCAGGCTGTGAGCGGCATGGGCCTGCTGTGGAGGCCGCTCAGCCTGCGGCGCTTGGCTCCGGCAGCCCTGGCAAATCAGCACAGGAACCGCGAGCCTGTGGCGTCTTTGTGCTCTGTCTGCACAGATGTAAGGACACTCAACCCAGTCCTGCGAGAATGAGGCCAGGCCGCTGAGCTTTAATGCATTAGGCAACTGGGCTGAGGATTCTTGAGAGAGGTGGCCAGAGCGCCATGTGTGGGTGAGTTTCTCTTTGATGAAGTCCCCCAAGCCTTCTTCCAAGGTTTCCAAACCTGGAAGGATTTGTTGATGCTGGCAATTTTGAGACTTCCTCTGCTCACTCACTCTTCTGGCTCCTGCCACGGGCCTGGGCTCGGAGTTTGGGTCTGCCCTCCCCCTCACCCAGCTCCGTCTCCTCTGGGGTGGGCTCTCCCGCGCTGTGGCCTGGGGCTGCTCACTCCCATGCTGTCTCTTCCTTGAGCGCCCCTCGTTGCCATCTCTGCCCCCTGAAGATCTGGCTGGGTTGCCAGATTCAGTGCAGGCTCCACTGGCCCCAGGAGGCCTGTGCCGGGTTCCCCTGGAGCCAGGCTGGCCGGCCTTGTGTGCCAGTCCCACCAACCAGGGTTGGGCGGGTGGGGGAGCCCAGGGGGATGAAGTGCTCAGTGCCTGGTGCAGGGAAGTGGGGCCCTGTCTGTCCCCCTTATCATGTTCTGAGAGAGGAAGAGACGGCGTCATCTTCATCCTCATGCCCTCAGCGCCTACCTTTGAGCCAGAACTCGGTGTGGCAGCCCCTTGGCACAAGGGGTAAGAGGTTTGTGAATGAGAAGAGGTCTGCCGTGAGGTCTTAGGCACGGATTGGATGACAGGTCCTGGGTTAGACATTCTGGCTACTTAATGTGCAAAGCTAGCCCGAGGCAGAGACTCTGTCTACCGCCCACACGCCCGCAGGGCCACAGCAAGGAGCAGCAGAGGACAGAGCGGCTGCTGTTGGCGGAGCTCGGACAGATCTGGAGAGGCTCTGGCGGTGCTCAGGCTCCGGGTAAAACCTGTTCTGCTCTGGGGACCCGCCTCGCCTCGCACTCCAGCCACACCCGGTCACTCCCTATTCCCTCAATACGTGAGCAGTTTCCCCGCAGCCTGGAAGGCGCCTCCTTGGAATGTTCCTCTGATCCTCCAGGCTCAGCTGATCTGTCTCCGGGCTGCCGGCCACTCCCATCACCACATGGGATTGTCCCAAAGGTCCAGGGCTGCAGATGAGGCTCCGTCGGGAGACCCGGGATTCCCTGAGAGCCGGTGCTAGGCTTTCCTCCCGGCGGCAAGCGCATAGTAGGTGCTGAATACATATTTATTGTGTGAATAAATATTTACCTACATTGGTCAACTGTTTTATTTACAGAAGTGAGCAAATCATGAAGGGGTACAGCATGATGTCTATGAAAATGCTTACTATGTAGAGAGTGCTGTGACTCGTCAGCAGGTGGGTAACCTGCTTTTCTGATGATAGGCACCTGGTTGGAGCCAGCGCAGGGGAGCATCCTTTCCCATCACACATCTCCGCAGTCTCTGGCCGGCCTCTTACGTTGAACTTCTCATCCCCACCCCACCCAGACGCCCACCCTGTGATTCTACCAAGAGTTTCCTGGATCCAACAGTTATCCTTTCAACATCACTTTTATAATGCTGAGTTGGGCTTTTCTGTAATAAGGATTAACATTCAAGATAAAGGTCTACAAAAAGGGGTTTTATTTCAAATCTCAATTAATATTTGCTTCCAGCAGAATGAGAACTCAGAGGCCAGGGCTAGAGGCTGTTAATGGAAATTAACAGTG